TTAACCAATGATGTTTTTGCAATATCACGGGATGATCTACAAAAATCAGCCAATTACAATGAAAGCCCGCTATGCTCCATAATCCTTGTCACTATTTCGAACATTACGAAATCGAATTTGGGTGGATGCTTGAAAACACCCTTAATGACTAATAATTAAATATAAAAGCACTGTGATAATATACCATTATCCAATTATTTTATAATATAATGTTTTCTTAATTAAATTAAAGCTAACTTATAAACCCCTGAAATTATACCAAATTATAATTAAAATACTTTATTTTTGCTTAGAACTATTTTAATAATTTCATCATTATATAATAAGTCTCTAATAGCATTAATAATTACTCCATAAATACGAGTTCCTAAAATATATATGAAGGTTCTTTGTGTTCGTAACTTCAAGTTTAAATTTAAACGTACAGGAAGTTGAATGGGAATTTTTTTACGAGCAGGTAAAGTAGTTGAAGAAATAGATGTATTAGGCTCCATGTGATGCATATTCACTGTGAATGAGTAAAGAATTTAATCTGAAGGAAAAAAATATTGTCTTGAATATTTAAGAGAACTCATTGTGAAGAAATTCTTCTCTATGTGTTTAATTCACGCAAGATCCTAGATACAAAAAAATATTATATTAAGATTTACCATATGAAATGAATATTGAAAAATTAATAGGTATACACGATGCAATTCTAAACAATCTGATAATTTGATATTTAAACTGAATTCTATAAATAAGTAGAATTTATGTAAGAATATCTATCAAATTTAGTCTGATGTTTACTAATTCAAAGTTTAAAGAATTTTTAATTTACAGAAAGTAAGAATATCAAATTAGTGAATACAAATATCAATTCCTCATTTAAAATAGACTTTTACTAAGACGCATCTATAGTGGTTTACACTGATACATATATTATCTTAAGAACTGTTTAAGCACCCAAAATCTTTTTCAATCCTTAAATATAACCTTGAATATTAACCCTAACATGACAATTTTATAATTAAAAATTTTATATTGCTAGCTCTCACTATAGTCACAGACTTATTTAATAATATTTTTCTTTGAATCAGAGTATTATTCTAGCAAGAGTTGACTGCATACAAAGCTTAGAAAAATCTAAATATAATCAAACATATAATAAGTGCATTTCATAATAAATATGAAATAAATAATGCCTTAATTATAGATTTATTACGTTCCAAATTAATAAAAGATATTTAAATAATTATAAACAAATTTGAAAAAGTTTTTTTTTTAGGAATAAATAATATAAATCATACACTATCAATATTATCAATATGAATCTTTTACTTGGCTTAAGCTACTAAATTTTTCAAACTCTGAAATGATCTCTCTCATATAAATAAGAATTGTTCTCCATTTTTTAAGTTTGTCAAAAATCCCAACAACCCTATTTTTCTTATCTGATTTAACATTACGATCATGGGCGACTATGTTTTTTCATTTTTCAAGTTTATCAATAATCTCAACAGCCGAAGGTCTTTTTTTCACATCTGAGTTAATACATTGTCTGGCTAATTTAACATACCATTTTGGTGTCCTTATAATAAATTCAGGTCGCAACCTATGACAAATCATCGCTGCTAATTCAGCATCAAAATTGTAACCATCGAAAGTCTTCGTCCAGTTAATATTTCTATCATAATAATCCCAAAACTGTAAATGTCAGCAACTTAAGTGAATTGTTCTCCTTATAAGACCTTATATTGATGAACCTAAATCAATATAAACATCATATCATTCTTTTAGTAAAATATTACTTTCGAGATATAAATTTTTTAAAATGAATATTTGATAGATCATTAATAATATCACATAATATTTTTAATATAATCTTCCACTCCAATTTAAATATATCTTTAACACTTAATGATCCGAATTTTGCGTAATTTAATACTAAAATAAAATCACAGGTATTTTTAGATTTCGGATTGTTTTACATTAAGGATAGCAAACAGATTTCCGCATGTTTTTAATAAAATCATCTGATCGCACAACTATAATAAAAGAATTACTTATCCCGTTTTATCATTGCTAATTTCAATCTTATAATAAATTATCATCACTATATTAGATATATGTACTTGTGTTTACTAATAATAAACACCATAAGATGCATATACAAGTATTCCCATAGTTTATGATCCAAATAATTTATTGACACATAATGCATGCTATTCACCAGTGTATAAAATTCAAGTGGTTTATGTGCGCTAAATGAATAAAAATGAATATCAAATGAAATTTATGTGCGCTATATATATAAATCTTTAGAATTTATGAATTTATGCGCGGAAAATAAAATCTACGTGCGCAATTATCTTAAGCAAACGTTCAATTTTATACACTGCTTTTCATATGAACGAAATAATTGGTAAAAATGTAGACGTCTCTCGTGACAGATAATAATTTTATAATATGTGGATAGATATATCTGAAATAGCTATTACTATTTAAATTGCAATTACTACTTCAATTACTATCGCCTCTTCAATTGCGATAAAATTCAGATTGACATTAAAATGAGTAAAAGCCTTTTTGTCAAGAGACAGATTAAATGATAATCATTGATCTTCTAAGATTAAATGAAAAATCGTACGTAGAAAACGAATATAATGATCATTTCTAAATTTATATTGTATTTATGTGGCTATGAATATTAACGTTAAGACTGATTCTGACGTATGCATTATTATTAAATGGCGCATATATGTCTTTCTTCGGGTACTCATGAGTAGATCAGCCCCGTAGAGAACGTGTACAGACTATTTGTATACAGTATAAACATGCGTGCATAGAATTTTTATACGTGTAACTAGTTGAAACTGTGGCAAAACCGCCCGCATGTGCAATTAGGTTCGTACGTACGTATGTCAGAAATATAGTGAAACGAAATGGATAAACAGTCAACAAAATATTAAATCTGGCAGGTTGAGAACGTTTCTTACTACGCTACGCTTATTCTCTACCAGATACTACGTGGCAATGCTTTAATTTGTTGACTCATCTTTTTTTTTGCATTGATCTATCGCAATATGAAAATTATACATCTTATTGGACTCAACTCCCTAAATGCTAATCAGCAACATATAATAGTAATTGGAATCATATATACTAGACTCAAATAAAATGTTAATAAACATTATTTTGTCAGCACTCATAACAATAATAGCTTTAAGGAAACTTGTACTAGACTAAACATGATTTTATTTCAAAAAGAAACTCATTTATATATAATCATTGTATTTAATCCTCCTTCCATAACACCAAAAATTAAAATCGGATTCACCTCATTTAATTGACAGTTATTTCATTGACTTCTAATTCTAACCAATGCTAACTTTAAATTAACAATATATTGGGTTAAACTTGATTGTCTGCAAACTGGTTGTCGGGAAAACGTGATCTATCTATTAAAATCCGATAAATTAAATGAAAATACAATTACAGTAAAAACAGCATGATATGGGTTTCGTGATAGAAAAATCTCAAAAAATGTGATTAAGTTTATTCCGCACGGACTTACCAGAAATTTAGTAATTTTGTAACATACTGTACGAGTTTCCCATATGCAGATCAATTCTTATTTATAATTGCCTACTTTCTGCAAAAATCTTATACAAAATCATAAAAAAAAAGATTTTCTTGAGTTTATTATAAAGTTTTTGAATTGAAAATCATAATATATGTATAAATATATATATATTGGAATTTTTATAAAAATTTTGATTTGTTTTTAACACATTTAACCAAATTTAGCATACCTAATCGAATACATAATCAAATAAGATAGGTAGTGCAAAGCACCACACATTGCACTAATGATTCAAAAAAAAAAGCTAGTACCCTGATAAATTTATATTTTTAATATCTTGTGGAATATAATTTATATAATAATTCATCTCAGCTTTCAAATCATCACAAAATTGATCTAGTGGTAAATCAGTTTCATCGTCACCTGTACAGAGAATATTTAGAATTACTATACAATAATAATACATTCAAGTTTTGTAATATATATATATAAATATATCGATATAAATACCAAATGGATTTGCAATCTCATTTCCTAAAAATAAAATAAAATAAAATAAATAATAATACTAAATATGAAAATAGTCAATTTTGCAGCATTGATTGGTAGATAATGTCAAAATACATAATACCGACTTTTTATATAGAGTATTGAATATGTAAGCTTACCGAGAGTTTCAAGACCAAACAATATAAAAGCAATTATAGTGACAATTGGAATAGTGGCCCAGCCAAAACGTTCAACAAGTGCAAGTGAGAGAAAGCAAACATATATATTTAGAGACTGTTTCCTGTAGGAGTCAAATATTAAAATTTCTTCTTTTGATAATCCATTTTTTAATAGAATACTTACATGTGAATTTGATAAGTTATAGGAATTGGTGTACCACTAATAGTATGCATAGTACCAAAAAGTTGTGTTAAATCTCTTAATACTTCAGAAATTATGCCAAATGGTATACTATCAAGTTCCTTTTCATGACATTTTCTGCTATAATATAAATTTAAATATGTTATTATCTCAACTGGTAAATCTATTTTGTCAGACAATGGTTGAACTTTTTGTTGAAAATTAAAGATATTAGGAATATGTCCTTTAAGATCTTCATGGTCGATACCAGCTTCTTCTTTTAAACTGTGTTTTGTAGCAACAACGAAGGCGAGCAATAAATTCATAATTACAACTTTCTCTTCGTTAGAAATTCCAATAATATTGGTCCAAGTAATACGGAATGCGGTTTTAATCAAACCACTATAAAAAAATACTTATCGTATTGAGGTTTAATATTCTCTTAACAATTTATATTACCACAAATAAATACCATGTGTCCTGAAATGCTTTTCGACCTTCAAAGTATCTCTCAAAAGTATGGCTTGCATGCAATGCCAACAAAAAACCAAGCAAGGCAGAAATAGTGTTAACTAAAAAATCACTGTTAATAAATAATAACTATAAGGAATTAAATCATAAATTATTCTAATTACCTACTGTGTCATTTAAAGAAATTAATCTAAAACCACAATAAATATACAGAAGACATACAATGGTGGCAATAATTGCTGAAAAAAAGGCCGCCGGAGTTACTGACCATATGATCTATTAATTTTCAAAGTCATAATTTAACCTTTTAAAACGTCAAATGTTATTTATTGGACTGCTACTTACAGAGTTTCTTATGTTAAGACAGTAAGAATAATTACATCCATTTCTCATAAAAATGTTAGCCATTTTTCTTTTCTGTTGTTAGGCTTTAATGTATTTTTATAGTTGGCAACCGGCTAATTTCACGAACTCTTATTCGGCTTATCTGACTAAAGCTTAAAAATTTTTTATAGCGCTTTATTATCTTAACCCACTATAAATTTTTGCTAGTGAACATTTGATCATTTCTGTTTATAGTCATATTGGTATTGATCTTACATATGATCCGACTATACGTATTATTAAACGAAATTCTTTATGTGAAATGACAAAGATGAAACTTACAATCAAAAGACAAAACCTCTCGCGTAAATTAATGCTTCTCCGAAAGACGAATTTTTATATAAAGATAAAATCTCACACGAAAGATGAAATTCATTATAATGGTAAGGCTCTGGCAAGTAAAAAGCCTCAAAGGCTGTGTCATAATTTGGTACGAAAGTTATTGTTTTTGAATAATCATTGTAAATATAAAATAAATTAAAGCCACCTTTTAAGTCTCATAATATGTGTATAGTGTAGATATTAAGTGAAAAGTTTTTATAGAATGCTGAAAAGCAGGCCTAACCGCTAAAAGTCAAAAATGACAAACTCTTGTGAAATCAATACTCTACAAAGATAAAACATCCGATGAAGGCAAAAGGCAAAGCTTTAATGAAGAGTAAGACACAAATCAAAATTAAAATAATTTATTTTATGAAAATATTGAGATTGATATTTTCTACAATAATATCTTTGCTAAGCAATCTTTATCATCATTTTCTGTACAAATCCCATAGCGATAGTATATAGTAACAAACATTTTTATAAAAAATCTCATTGGAATTACTGCTTTGGCCATTCGAGAAATGTTTTTTTTTAAGTACCGATTCCTCAATTGCAATCTCTCTCTTACAGTTTGAAGCTCATTGCTGCGAATTTATAAAATACCCTAAAATTTGATGAAATTTGACAACTAAGTTATAATACAGATCTTTGATTTTGCTAATAATCGTTTCCAGGTTATAATGTATCATTATATATAAAATTCTATGTCAAACGAAATGCATCAAAATGGATTATGTATACGTATAAATAGTGGTGGATTCAAAATTAGAAATTTTAACAATTAAAATGGTTAGTAATCATTGTTATAATTTCCATTTTTGAATTCTAGTAAGATGAGCTAGACGTGTTATTGATATAGATCAGAGATCCAAAACAAATTTTTTAAAGTTGGGGACAAATTTTCAGATTGGCTGACCGAGTTTTGGCTTAATTTGACAAATGCGCCGTAATGTGATTGTATTCAGACACGATATCATACATATTGGTTTAGCCAATCAAAGTCGTAAGCTTTATTATTAAAAGCATCACATGCTGATTACCAATGAAATCGTAAATTTTATTAACGAAATAAAAATCGAAATAGTCAGGTTTTTAAAATTTATAACATATATGTAGTTAAATTTCGTTGTCAGACAAGTAAGCATGAATTTATTAATTTAAATCGAGATTATTAACTTTTCTACTACCGACATCTTAGATTAACTATCTTACATTATGGGCTTAGACTGTTTACTGAAAAATAATCTACTCGAACTTTCGAATAATTATTGTAAGGTGTATAAATTAATTGAATCATTAGTGTAACGATTTACAAACTAGGGCATACTTAGGATGGTCCTACCTCGACATGAGTTCGCAGAGCTCTTTTCTAGCTTGATTCATTTTTAAAAGACAAATCGATTTCAGTATGAATTTATCTAGCGACATTATAAATAGCAATTACCCCTTAGCTTTTGGAAAAATAATTATAAAATGCCACTAAGAATTCAGTGGCAAATGATTTAAGTTGTAAACCGTGATTAAAGGGTATAAAAAATAGCCAATTTAATAATAGAAATTGTTGAAAATTAATCTAGTTTCTCTATATGGTTGGAACGCAGCTATTTTAGAATGTAAAGGTTTTTTTTTGCGCCAAGTAATCCTTTTTGGTATAGAATAGGTTATTCGGGCTTTAATAGGTATAATTATTAAAATTGGTTTGAGTTATTGGCATTTTAACTTTCATCACTGCATAATTTTTACGTTTTCAATATTACACCATTGCTGATTTTTACTATGAAATTTTATACCCTTCAACTACGATTTACCACTTAATTATTGAAACTTTTGGTAAACTGATGCCCACAGATTGGATCAAGTACAAATAAGAAATCGAATAAATCGCATACTAAATCAATACAAATAAGAAATTGAAGTTGATTTTTAAATACTTTTATTGATAAATAGTCGTTATACGTACTATAATAAAAAATTAAATGAATGAGAAATTAGATTAACATAAATACTTAGATTGATAAATAATGTTAGATTCAAATTAAACAAAAGGTAAATAATCTACCTTAAATAACTAGATAAATGATCTCTAGATTCTCAAACCAAATCAACACGATTAAGAGCAGCTGACTATGATTAATAATGATCTAGATTAATCAATGAGAATACTGTAAGAATAAGAAATTAAATAGCTTATCGCAAATACTTTAATGATAAATAATTCATTACACTATCACGACTAAAAATGACATTACGGAAACTATAATAAATTGCATCTCAAAACGAGTGATGTAGGAAGTTTATCTGCCGAAAATTTTATACAGTCGTTCTCCTCTATAATCACGCAGTCCATATCACGCAAATTGTGTTATTATATAAAGGTCTTTACTACGACGTGCTAACGAGGCATTTTTTTATAAGTTTATTAGTAAAATGTTACGGACTTTGGAGTGATTATAAAAAGGGTTTTACTATAAAGTGATTATATAGGAGGTGACTATATATGACAATTGTATTAATTAATGGAAACAAAATAAGTGGCAGTGTATAGGCGGCTTATTATAGTTGCAGATAGTTAAGCCTCTCTATTAGAGTTCCAATCCATTAACCGTTTATCCATATATCCGTAATTCGTTATCCAAGTATCCGATCTGAATTTATCTGGATATCCGTTTACTATTGATATCCGAATAATTTATTCGAATATCTGTCAGATTATCCGGATATCAATAGTAAACGGATATCCGGATAAATTCAGATATGGATAATCGGATAGCGGATTTATCTGGATTGGAACTCTACTCTCTATTAGTCTTAAAAATTATTAAAGAATATAGCTTTGGTGGTGTAGTTTATTTCGACAATTTTAATTTAAAAAAATAATCCAATTGTTTGAAGCTATAGCTTAATTTGTTAAGAAAATAAATCTATTTGAGTTATTAGTTTTTTTTTAATACATGATGATACTTAGAAAATGTACTGGATTTATGCATGTGTACCTAAATTGCCTATCATAAGAACAATTATTACATTATTTAGTCAGCCGAAATTAGTCTTTCATAGTTGCCAAAATTAATTTTCGTGTTTGCCGAAATTATTGCTGAATTTTTCACCAAATACATCATATAGCATAGTTGCTTCGAAGGCCTCCTGTAAAAAAAATATCAATGCTAACATACTTGTCGGAAATAATTTTTTTTAAACATAATTTAGGCCGTATTAGTATTATTGTAGTATCAATTAAAGCCTGTATTCCGTTGTCTAAAGAATTCTGCTTTAGACTTCCTGGATTTTATTTGGCAGCATTCAAATAGTCTATAGCATCAAAGATACCTATAATAATATTGTCCGAAACGTAGCGAGTACTTATCTATTTTAGTAAACTTGAATGCAATAGATACAAATAATATTGCTTAATTTGCTTAGGATTCTAATTATATGCAAAATTGGTCGATCATAATTATATTCTATTTTTAGCATTTCGTGCGTATCGACAAAAAAGGAGTCGTCTAAAGCGGAGGGAATTATATAATTATTATTTATTCACTTTTAGGGTCGGGTCATTTTAGATTAGGGTTAGATTAGGTTTCACTTTTCTTTCTTGCATTGCTTCGCCGGCGATCAGTGGTGTCATAAAAATGTCGCGGTGACGTGTCGAATTTGATACTGATCAAATAGCAATAACATTTGCATTATATTAAATTCATATATTGATCATATGGGATCTTTGCTAGGATTTTTGGTTTTCTAAAAATAGATTTATTATGTTTTTCTTAATAAAAATCTTGTGTAACAATGTCTCGTAGGGTCATTTTGCTAGCGAAGATCCCATATATCAATGTTGTTATGATCAAATAAATATTAATGGGTCGGTCGAATATCACATGACCGCGACATTTTTATGACACCACTAACCTACCTCCGGAGACCATCAAAATACGTACTATAATTTGATTGACATGATTTCCCTCCGCTTTTGACGACCTCCAAAAAAGGGGGGTCGTCTAAAGCCATGTACCCACGTGACTTTTTTGCAGCCCGAAGAAGTCAAAAAATAAAGAAAACGCAAAAGGACGAAAAACAGCAGTCTTAACCTATCTTGGGGCACTAATTAAAAATGTCGGGAAGGAAATTTTACCTATATCCCTCTTCTTATATCAACACCAAACTAACCCTAATCCTAACCTTAATTTTAATTAAAACGATTAAAACGTCAAAATCACGTGGGTACATGGCTTTAGCCATCCCCCAAAAAAGGCAAAAAAGGACTGCGATTTCTATAGATTTTCCTTTATTGGATTATTTCCATGTATTAAAGCAAAGTAAAATAAAGTTAACGCATAATCGTTATAATCTATACAAAGTTTTGCTTAACAGCACATTAAAACAATATGAATGAACTGCTGAATAAAGAAAAAAGCCCAATCATCTTTGATAACGAATAAATAAGATCGTTAGAAAAAATTTTAATGAATGCAAATTATTTAATTAAAGCTATTTAATTCATTAAAGCTAATTATTAATTTAATTAATTAAAGATGCTTTGTCCTATTAATTTAATTAATTAAAGATGCTTTGTCCTATTACTTTATTAGAAAAATATATAGGTTCAGTTGACATATCAGGATGTCGTGTATCATTGATTTTTAAATCGACTGATTAACAAGTAAGTACGTATAATCATTTTTCTCTAATTATTTTCTCTAATTAGCAGAAAATTATTTAAATAGATAAGTAGTGAATTCTTGCTAACGATGAGTTTTCGAAAAATGACGAAAAAAATGAATTTCCATATTATTACATTCTTTAGCCTTCTGTCCTTTCTTATTTCTAGTGTTTTCGCTGCCTGTGGCGATCCTGGTGGCTGTACGTGTGATAAAAACGATCAAATTGGCGGACTCAAGTGTGGTTATGAACTTAATAATCGTAAATATTGATTTTTAAATTAATTTATCATAAATCATATTATTGAAAGAAAGAATCTTGTCAATAACGTCTCTATTCTAAAAAATTATAGATTGTCCTTCGGATCCCAGCTCCATTTTTCAATGTAGTCCAGGTGGTAGTAAAATTTGTCGTTATGGTCCATGCACGCATGGATGTTGTGCGGTCGGTAATGGAAAAAGCTATTGCTGCAAGGACGATAAATGTTCAGGGTGTCCTTCTGACAAATGGATTAAGAAAGGCTCTAATCCACCTCCTCCTAATCCTCCCCCTTCTAATCCACCACCTTCTAATCCACCGCCTTCTAATCCTTCTGGATATGATAGACAAAAAGCTGTCAGTTATGCTGGACAGTATTGTAAAAACCCAAATCCGAAATACAAAAATTTTGATTCAGTGGGGGGAGATTGTACCAATTTCGCTTCGCAAGTTTTAGATACAGGTGGCATTCCTACAGATAAAGAATGGAAACCGTACACAGTTCCATGGGTAAATGTGGTGTCGTTTTATAATTACCTTATTAGTCACAAGTTGGCGAAAGAATGCCAATTGAGTGAATTGAAACCAGGTGATTTTATTCAATATCTTGGTCCTCAAAGGTATTCTCATACTGTTGTAGTTGTAGCCTCAGGTGCAGATCCCATAGTGGATTCTCACAGTGCATTTGCATGCAACAAACCGCATAGCCATTTTAGAAGCGGTTTTAAGGGTCATAGAGGCCTTTGCATTACGAAATAATCTTGATTTCCTCATTTATTTAGATCTTTGTATAACTTTAATAATTAATTTTTAAGTAATTTTTATAGAATTTGATTGCATTAATTATTATTGTCCCTTCTATTAATTATTATTGTCCCTTCTTGATTTTTGTTTTTTAAGAATTTGTAAGATAACAAAGCATGATGCAGCGCTACAATCTCTGTTGATGATATTTTCAACCCTTTATTTTTTAACTATAAGTGAAATGATTCTATTCATGTTCCAAAAAAAATTAATTGCATTGGGCATTGTAGTTATATTGTCACGACCAGAATAATGGATAGATTTATGGTCATAATATAGCAACACATTTTTATATTTTGATTGATAAAATTCAATTGTTTTGGTAATTGATGGCCATTTAATAAAACTATTCAGTATATCAGTTTCTATTACGATATTCGATGATTCTTAATGCTAAACATTTCAACTAAACATTATTATATTCGTGAAAACGTGTAGTTTTGCATGCAGGCAACAAACTCGTAAATTTAAAATATAAATATTTAAAAGCAGTTACATCAATTTCAAAATCTTACTTGATAAATACATAGAGAATTTAGAAATGTGAATTAAAATATTTAAAACCATAAGATCTAAAACTCCTTACAGTATTAATTGATAGTTTCTTTGGCAAGTTAGTGACGATTAAATAGGTTGCTCTAATTTACGACTAAAGTTTAAATGCTTTTCTTTTATTTGCAGGAACGAATTATTTAATATATCGAAGAGTTTTACGTATTATTTTAATATATCATATTTAGTTTTCCCCTTTATGTGTCTAATTATTTGAATTCAAAAAATGGATAAATTAGCCCATTCCACTTTTTTTACCAGAATGCTGTAGATCATTTCTAAGTTATGCTTTAACTCGTGATCCTCACATTTCCTTTTTGACTAAAGCGGAAATAATTTGCGTCAAAAAATTTTATATATTACTGCAATATTTCTGTGAGCTGATAAAACTCAAATTATTTAACACTTATCAATACTATTGATAAAATAATGCTAACAGAGCACTTTCCAAGAATATCACGCGGCTTCTTGAGTCTTGTAAATGATAATCTTGGATCAGAAGAGGAAAGGTATAGCTGACCGTTTTGTAAGAACACCATGTCGAAAATTTTGAAGTTTCATTTGAATAATCTTGGAAGAAAAGCATTAGGAAGTACAATTTGCAAGAACACCAAACTAATTTATTTTGATCTCGGTATTAATGATCTTGAATTATAAAATCTAATAATCCAAGTACAGTCATACCTGAGTTATATCCCCACAGGGTTATATCCCAACCTGAGTTATATCCCCATATTTAAGCAAAACAAATTTCCTCTTTTTTATATGTTTTTATATATTTTATATATTGAGTTATATCCCTACCTTAGTTATATCTCCAAAAATGTTCTGGAAAAAAGGGGAATATAACTAAGGTACGACTGTATATAAATAAATATTTAAAAATATGTAAGTTATATAGTATATAAATGTAAGCGACAGTAAACATGAACTCGTACGATAAAACATTATAACATTCATTCAGAATTAAGATTTTATATATGAACATCTAACTAGATCCTAACTATACACTTCATTCTTATGTTCCTCGTACAATTGCATATCTCGATTATTAGCAAATTTCATTGGTAAACAGCTTGGAACATTTGTAAATTAATTAATAGATTATTTATGCTTTCGCTAATTTATTCTAAAAAAAATTGCTAATATCAATTTAGTGCGCCAAAAATTGACCTTTGTCATTTTCAATTGGCAGATACGGTTTAAAATGGTGTATAACATAGTATTAAAAGTCCTAGCATTACCACAATTTGATAGCACTGTATTTTTTTTTCTTCTTCATTTTGACTTTTTTTTCTTTTACCCTTTCGTTGATTTTACCTTTTTTAGGAGAATTTACTGTTTAGTTTTTAATAAAACAAAAACCATCACTGATCCAAGATAAATTATTGTAAAGGGAAATTTGAGCCAAAATTATATTCTTAAATTTTACCAAACAATTAGTTTAAAAAAAATTCGCTACAAAGTTTTGCAATATGGCGTATTTGTCATCATTCATTCCTTTTTTACGATTCTCATTGCATATCTAAATAAATGTCTAACACGAAGAGTGGCATAGTATGTGATCTGTAATAAGAAATAATTAAAAAAAGTGTGTCAGGTTTTTGGCGCAGTCAAATTCTTTAAGTTTGTTTATGTTAGGGTTAGGGCTTTTTATGATTAGAGGTTAGGAGTATGTAAAATTGCTCAAGGAAAACTTGTTGTTAGTAGTTTTATATGCGTTTTTTTATGAAATAAGCGACTGGCACTCAGAAAATGTGTACCAGGTTTGGATCGGATGTTCGTTCGGATTATAGCCCGGATTATGGTCCGGAAATTAAACCTTCGATTATTTTTTCTGACAATTAGACTTTATTTGTCAATTAAATAACGACAATATAATGCAAGATTTAGCGTAATTTACAATAAATAAAAATAATATAAATAAATTTGAGTTTTGACATTCTAAAAATATAACTATTTATTTTTGTTTAACCATTTGGTTTGTTTTTTTTGTGACGTTCGTTCTTTAATAAATTATGTACGGTGAATGAACTCAAAATTTTGGAATTTTATAATAGTTCAGTATAAAAAGTGCCATGTGTTATATCGAGTTGACTGTACTTTTGTGATTAATATTTAATTATACTTAATTAATATTTTCGTTTTGTGCACGAATTTTTTTTAAATTGATGCGGCTGAACCTTAATTTTTGACCTACTTCGACTGTGATGAAGAATTTTGCTGAAATAGATAAGGCACTAATTTGTCGATAGTTAGATATTTAAATTTTTCATATCCTTTTTCGAAATATTCATGCTGTTAAGAGGTTAGTTAATATTATGTTTAAAAAACTTTACAACATGCATTATTAATTATAAATAAATTTTGAATTATTATGAAAAAATATAACCCAATTTCAATATCTTCTTTAAACGGCTGAACACTGCTTATTTTACAGTCATTATAATTTTCAACTCGATACGATAAGCTACCGGAAATATTTGCTGAAGGAGTATAGGTAGGATCGATATATTCAAAGCTTATTTAAGTTTTAGTTTGATGGTTTCTTGTAATTAACAGAATAGCAGCTTGTTCACAATATTAACAACGTGTCTATAACCAGTTTTGCATTTCTAGGAAGACACGAAAAATATTATGCTAACACTAATCACAATATCGCAATTCTGGTTAGTTCAGAATGTTCTTACTACCTATCTTTCCGGTCGACATCCGATCCCAAACCAGCATTTTCCTGTTCGTGTTACGTTGCAGATAGTGCTCCGAACGGGTCGGGTCGGGTCGGGTTATAGGCCAACCCGAACCTCCAGGGAGACCGTCCTAAATTAGAAAATAATTATCTGAGTCACCCGAATGTTGCATATTTTTTTTTTATACGTTTTACAATACTTCTATTAAAAAGCCCGGGCCAATCAAATTTGCGATTTTTAGAAATATACGTTTTACAATACTTTTTTAAGGGGCTTTGGGTAACGAATCCCTTCTAAGATACATGACTAACGACTAAGTAAAACTTGAAGTTTTCGCACTATATTTTAATAATATCGACTGAATCCACCT